TGAACCTAAAATATGCATTTTTTGTGAATGGGGGGGGGGCAGGCAGTGGTCTCACTGAACAGTGGGAGAAAGTCATATGGTTAGATGAGTCATACTTCACCCTGTTCTCAACACGCAGACGAGTAAATGTGTGGTATGTTCCAAAAAAGCCTGCCAGCTCGACTGATTGTGTCCCAAAGTGTTCTGGCACCTCTGTTATGGTGTGGGGTATGTTCTCTTGGCATGGTTTTGGTCCACTCCGTCCCTTACAGAAGAGAAATGGGGCCAAGAAAAGTCACCAAACCATTCCATGTCTCTTCTAGCATCGGCCCTATCCACTGCACGAGTAATCACCGGATGGTTTAATGAGTGTGTTCACCATATGCCCAGCCTGTTACAGTCACTAGATCACAACCCAAATGAGTACTTATAGTGGACAGAAGCACAGCCTCTCCAGTGCTGAACAAAATGCCAAATGGTAGAAATTCCCATGGAAAGACAGTGTTGCGTTCCCAGATGGTCTGTTGCGATCCTGTGTTACTCAGGCAGATTTCCGCCGCAGCCTCCAGACGACAATCCCTCCATCGGCCTGTCCTCCCACACCAGTCGCTCGCATTATACTATCCTTCAATCTAATAATCTTTAGCGCCATAAATATCTCCTCTCATATCCTCATTGAATATAAACACTTGCACGTCTGGAGAAAGCTGCTTTGGCTTGATTGTGTCAGGCAATTGACCAAAACCGTCAACAAGACCGAAAAACCATGACTCTAAGTGGAAATGTAAGCGGTTTGTTTTAATACATAATAGCTCTTCCATGCTCCCTGCAAATGGTGAGCATCCATTAGCATAACACTAAAAAATGCATGAACCTTCCCAGGAGGCTTATTTTCGTAGAATTAAGAAGGCCGCTAGAAGCATCCGCAGCCACGGGGGTTAGAAATTACCTTTTGTACCACCCAATTTTTAATGTTTTGAATGACCGGTGAGACTCTCTCTGCCTCCATGAAGGCGTAGGACCCAAATAACAAAACAAGCATTTGTCTTTTGGCGAGAAGGGCACTGAGACTCTTGACACATCTCAGCTAGAATGTCTGCTAAGTGTCTCCTGAGGACTGGGGGGCCAAGTTAATGTGGCACATGCATATTTTTAATTAGTTCCTTTCCAACATATTTTTGACAAAGTTGCTCTACGAATTGGGAACACAAAGTGGTAATAGCCATATTTTTAACCCATGGCAATGATGTGGCAGGAATTCCTGTGTCAGTAAATTCCCTTGTGGTACCTCTATGTCACTTCAATAATGCCTGCTTTCTCTGCGCTGCTTTCCATAAGCACAGCAAGGAAAGGAAAAAAAATGTGTGGGGGTGTTGCCTGCGAATCGTCATGAGTGTGCAGATCACCAGCCCAGAGGAGGAAAGGTGTATGAGATGGCACTATTTATAGCTAGGAGAGAAATTATTCAGCGAGATCCAAAGTGGAGCGTATAGCTCTTCCTTGACAGCCGACATGGTAGGATGAGAAGAGGAGGATGCATCCTCTGCCCATGCCCCCCCCCCGCCCCCCCCAAAGCACGGGCTGCTTAATGGAAGCTGCAAAGCGGAGTCGGAGCTTTGAAGCTGCTCAGCGTCTGTCACAGTCCCGTTGCTTTTGTTCTCAGGTAGCTTCCCTTTTACTGTCTCACAACAAGCCGCCTCTGCATGGGACGGAGCTCCGGATTAGATCCTGGAACGTGGACAGAACGTCTCCCTGGCACTCTACTGTAGGATACATGAGCTCATGGGAGTTTCACTTACACAAAAATGTTCTGAGGGCAGAAAAAAACATTATTTGGTTCAGAGAGATAACCAATCAGAACTTGGACAAATGTCAGATCAACCAATCAGATGGCTTGGTCCTGCCTCCTCTAGTTGCATGGACCTGCCTCCTCTGCAATCTGATTGGTTGTCTCTCTGAACCAATCATTTTTCATTCTGCCCTCAGAACACTTTTGTGTAAGTAAAACTGCCACGAGTGATACATGATGACATTTCGTCTGGTCTGGCCTTCCATGGCACAGAAGTTGGATCTGCCGTCAAATGCCCTACTCTTTAACTGAAGTACAAATGTATGTTTTACACGAGTGTGACCGTTAAATAGCATGATGGCTTTCTGGTCATGTGATTCATCAGAAATCTATGAGGTTACAGTGGAGGACCATGTGACACAAATGATGCCAAAAATCTCTAGTGCACGTGCGCGCACACGCATATATGTGTACACATGCATCTCGGTGGTGCCCAGCAGGACTTGGAGCACTCGGCTCCTCAGCTTTGCAGAACTAGTGTACACTCCTAGGCCATCTGGACCGCTCTGTGCCAGGCCCTGTGGCCCGGAGCCAGGTACGGATCCTCACAGTACTGCTACAATGTTTCCACCCGCCTCAGCGCTGTGCTGCTGCTGATCGTGTGCTGATTGATATTGTTCTATTATGCTCATCGCTTGGGAGTATGGATCTGTGTGGCTTCAAACAAGCACTTCAGTGCATCCAGGGCTGCTGAGTTATTGACCTCTTGATGTGGTTCTGATGTGTCTAGCGTGTAGTGCACATAATTCTGTTATAGTATAGCTTCTGGCAATGCATCATGACCACCAGGCACAGAAGATATGAGGATTCATGGGTTGGTAACTTCATCAGTACTGTGTATTGTTAATTTGGTGTAAATGGCTGTTTTTCTTGCTATAGACCATCTAGTTTTGTAACACAGAATTATTGCAATGCTCGTTAGTACCAGGTTCATCGGAATTAACACATGCTTTGCTGATGCTGACCAACGCCTTCTCGCAGGGCTGTCAGGTAAATTCTTCTGGTTAGCTGATGACAGCAAAAATGATTCTTATAATAACCAGAGAAATGTGCTATTATCCATTTATCGGTTCCACCCGGGTTCCATTCAAGTTATTAACGGAAAAAAATTCTCTGCGCGGGAAATTAATGAAAGTGATAAAACATATAATTTACTGAATACATGACTGAATTTGTAATAACGTACCTTTGCCATCTAAACAAATGTCAATCAAACAAGACTATTAAAACGTAGGCTATAAGAAGAACGTAATCAGCGTAGATGTAATGAGCAGAGTTTGGTGTTTTTGGTTTCCAGCAAGTGAGAAGAATAAAGCAGGTTCACGAGGGCACAGTTCTGCTCGGAAAACTCGTCTGGCCAAGAAGGCGCTGAAACAGTACCTGGAACTTCATACGATCCAGGATTATTTCGGGTTTTCCCTTTATGAACAAAGCAATGGAAAGTGTTTTTCAACCGCATTCTAATACAGCACATGCTTAATTTGCAGACTGCTTTCAAAATACTGCAAATTTCTAGCTCCGCTGAGCTCCAGTGAGAATCTGCCAGCAGCTGTTTGTACCATCTTAAAACTTAAAAAAAAAAAAAAAACGTCATATTTTGTTCCATGTAAAATTCCTTTGATCACGGCAACAGGTACAGAGAATGTGGCCTCTGTTTGCATATCTAAAAACGTAAGAGTAACCAGAATGATTTTTTCTGTTCCCTAATTGTGTAATTCATGCTATGAGAAAAGTACAATTTACTTCAGAGAAAACCGCAATTTACTTCAGAGAAAACCTAGCTATTACGGTGCCTAGAGCAATTACGCTTGTTAGCGCATTTTAACTCTGACAATAAACATGACATTTTAAACTGGATTCTAATATGTTTCACTCCATTCATCCATCCTTTCATCTATTGATCTTAAAACCGTTTATCCTGGTTATAGCCGGGATTACGAAAACACAAAATTAAAATGATATTTAATAATTTCAGTAGTCCTCCTATTATATCCTAGTATATCCAACGCATGTGTTTTGTGATGCAGACGCAAAGGGATTTCCTTTCAACACATGTAAAATGTGCAGGTTACCAACTTGATTTCACCATCGTGCTGGAAATGCAATTTTGATCCGTCATCGCAAGCTCCGACCTTTACATAAACCGTGCTTCCACATTGGACAGAGTAGCCTACAAGGTTACAAATAATATCGTGTTTCAAAAACATTTATAATGTAAAAAATCTCACATTATTACAACTCCCGATAATCTGACGTTTTAGTTTTCTATATTTATCGCTTAGTGATCAGGTATCGCTTACTTTATGAGATGATGGAAGTACATTAATTTTTCTGTCAGAGCATTACTAATCTGGGAGATGCCCCTGGATATTAAAATAATTTATCACTGACTGGAATTTCTTAATTAATGGTACTGAAGTTCTCTACAACACTGACAGCGCCAGTCCCAAAAAGAAACGGCCGTCAGACCCCTACAAGAAAGTTAAACACACTTGGAAACAAGTTTTGTCCTTGTGAAGACCTACTTGGGAAACCCCAGGTAACTTACATAAACCAAATATGAAAAATTATTTAGTATGAATCTAAGGTTTTTATGATTAGATTCGATCCGTTTACTAAGTTTTTTTAAATGCTACAAGAACTTTATTTCTATTACTTTTATGCGAAAGACTTGACTTTGATCGAAGGTTTAGCCTGTGGACATGTTTACGTATATGTTATTACTGAACTATTTTTAGGTACTTTAATATCGATTTACAGTAATTGCCGTAAGTTTCTTGTGCTGCGTCAAATAAAAAAGGAAAACAAGTTTAATTCACCCCCTCATGTACCGAAGACATTACAGTGTGATTACACTAATGGTTGTTCATAATAAAATAAAACTGAGCAATAATTACATAATGCATACATCTGATATTTCGATCGATCCGATTGTAAATACTTCGTATATCCCGAGACTATAATACCAGGTAAACATACCCTAACATTCGCTGTCCAAACGCATCCCATATATTCTCGCAGTTCAAATTAAAAGTATTCCCGTTTCAGTGTGTTATATTCTGAATAGAGAATATATACGTCCAAATGCGTTTCATGACCCAGTATTTATATATTAGCATTTTTTTATATTGCAGAATGGGTGTCTATCGTAATATATAGATACAGCACTCACCTTTAAGGTGTCGACAATTACCATAGAGGTGGGAACCAGTTAGCCAAGTACCGCTTTTCTGCAGTTTCTATAAGGAGTCTTCCCCTTTATTTGTATTTAGTAAGTCTTCCTCGGCACATAAGACAGCTGACAGTTTCTTAAAAGTGACATCGGTTTGACGGTGCAGAATAGTTTAGACAAATCTCACGGTGTCTTCTTTTCATGAAACGCGCCCTGCGATGCATGGTTTCCTACGGATAGTTTTGAGTTCGAGCCGATTTATAAAAAGGTTGTCTGGAAAGGGAGGCAGATGCGAAAGTAGGAGCGGCTGGAAGGTAACACCATATCGCTTATCCTGCTGCTGCTTACGTCCCGGAAAGTCTCCGAGGAAAGTGATGCGGGCTTTGTGCCTCCAGGCACCCGCTACAATGACAGTCCTCGCCGGCTACGGAGATCACGTGGAACGCCGATAAACCGTGCGGAGAGATCTGCTTGTTAAAAGGGTACTTACTGGCTGGCAGATCCCCAGTCTCCATAAATGTCATGAGCTGTCTCTTTCTTTAAAAATAGCATCATGACTGCTTATTAAAGTAGCGCTCTTCGTGAAGACCAGCTGGTTATGACGAGCGATATTCCGCCCGTGGTATCCATGCTACTGCATCTAGATGTGTGACCAGCGAGGTTGCTTATCTCTATCTCCTGGGGTAGGTGTGTCCGTCGACTTCAAGCAGATGAAGATGCAGTGCTCAGAACCGCCGGTGTCAGAAGCAGGTGTATCTTTATTTAAAGACAAAGAATAACTCGAGCGAATTTGTTTATTATCGATGAACTTATTATGACTATTTTTGTCTTTTTAGCAAACTTCATGAGAGATTCGTTCTAGTGTAAAATATTTTTTTCTCATTTTCGCTTAAGAAAACTTCGTCTAAATGAAAAAAGAAATAAGATGAATCTTTTTATAGGTTACTTCTTTCCGATTAAGGTTGAAACCCTAAAACAGACTTAACTTTCCACTGGTAACTGCTGTGGTTGATGATTTTGACATAGTTAGACCGTTATTGTCATTCGTGACCAGAATGTTCTGCTAAAGTATATTTTTGAAATTATTCCGGCTGTAGGCTACACACACGTCTTTTTTAACTGCGTGATTTAATGCCCGACTTAATAGCATATTTTTTGCATATGTTTGGGTGGGTTTGTCAGGTGGGTTTGTCATCGAACAGGAACCCCAGTTGCAGGGATGTCCAGTGACCTTGCTCTCTGACCCCAAAGCTTGTTCTCACCTATAAATACATGTGTGCCTGTGTGTCCCATGAAGGGCAAGATAGGATATGCACAAACTACTAAATTTCCCCATGGGGATGTATAATCTACCTGTGTTGTATCTCTCTGTCACTCATTCATTTTGCATTCACAGAACATTCAAAGAGCATGTAAGTATACCTTAACATCCTAACATACGTTAACAGCTTTAATATACATTAATAAACATTACATGATAATACAATTATAATTTTTGCTATCATATAATGTTCATTATTAATGTATATTAACGCTGTTAAGGTTAAGGTTAGGATCTTATGGTATATGTATAGGCTGCTTATGAATGCTCTTTGTATGCGTAATGAATGCATTATGAAGGTGCACTGAATGATCTATGAATGGTTTATAAAGGCACTCTGAAGGTGCAGTTAATGTAAAACGTTATCTTTTAAACATATTTCAAGCATTATTCATTTAGAACAAGAACTGACTCCACAGCACCACACCTTCAGACCTTCAGTGTTTAAGTCCATGCTTGATGTGATCTGGAGACTGCATGGTCAGCATAAGCCTGCCACGCCCATTAGCCACAGGCTTACCCCGCCCCCCCCAGGATGCCCCCCACATGCTCACATTTCCCTAACAAGGTCTTAATGACGCCAGTTGTACCACAGGGAGGGGCTCATGCTGTGTGGTAGGAACAGTGTAACATTCAATTGGATTAATAGCCTGCAGCGTTTTTCTTTGTCTTTCTTTAGTAATATCTTTTTTTAATCATCTTTCCATTGTCCCTCTGATTGTAGTCATCTACTGCGGTGACCCCCGCCCCCACCGTCATGCGTTTATGAGCAAAATGAAAGTAGATCTTTGTTAAAAAAAAAAAAGTTACCAGTTGTGTTTGTCCTCATATGGATACATATTTGCCATTCATATTTAATGGACTTTGATATCTACCAAGTACTGTGTCTGATTAAACAAATGGGATTAATAAAGCTGCAGCTAAAAATTGCTGAATACTTTTTTTGGAGTCTCAAGAGTTGGTCAACAGCAAGGCCTCAAGATGCACTTTTGGTGACCAATCAGACGGAGTTGCATTTTGTTTAGCAGAGCTAGATTGTGGGTAAGTGACTAGTGGTGGATGATGGGAAACTATGATAAGTTTGCTTGTGTAGAAATGTAAAGAGACATTAACACAACGCTGGTGATGTTGGTCTCCTCGAACCTGGAAAAGGACTGCTGTTCTGCAGGGCATAAATTAAAATCTACTTCGTCTGCATATTATATTTCAGATGAACTCCTTAAGCCACCATAACATTGTTTTACACTTTGTTTTACAGGAGAGTTATAAATACTGTATAGCATTAAGTTTGTTAATATGGCAAGGGAATTAATTAAATACAAAAAAGAATTTTAAGTGGAATTAATTTATTTTTCATCTTGAGGAAAAGTATGCTTGGCTTATTTTTTGCTAATAAAAATAATTAATATTTCAGAATCAACCAGAATAACAAAATGCACAACATACACAAGTCAACACTGACTGCAGTTTACGTTACATCTACTGCATTGCAGAATGCTTTCTGTCAAGAAAATTAAACTGGATAGTTTCTCTGTTATTGGGGGTTTGATTCCTGCCTTGCGCTGTATTTTGAGTTTGCATATGCTCTCGCTGTGTAATATGGGTGCCCTCCAGCTACTGCATTGTCCTCCTGTAGCACAAAGACATGGTGTTGGTCCATCACTCCATCCATCCATCCATCCATTTTCTACGGGCTTATGCTGTTCAGGGTCACCGGACACTAGCTGGTATTTCTGAATTCCCCACATTGTATCATTGTGTGTGTGTGTGTGCTCGCTGGGGGTGGTTATGTATGTGTATATATTGCATTGGGTCCCCAGAATGTGATAAAAACCTGTTATTTTAACATTATGTGGACATTTTATCGATCCCCACAAGAATAACCTCAGTTTAATAAAAATCTGTGACTGCAATCAGAAAACTAAAAATATCAGAGGTTACTTATGATTAAAGTTAGGGCTGGGTAGGGGTTAGGGTTGTCATGTTGGAATTAAAGTTTTCAGTGTTTACCCCTAGGAATGAACGGTCCCCACAAAGATATGAGTACAAATGTGTGTGTGTGTGTGTGTGTGTGTGAAGGGCATCCTGTCAGGGGTCAGGCCTACATAACATAACGGCAAGAATATCAGTAAAACATACAGACATGTGCTGTTTGTTATATTGGTTTGAGATATAGGATGTTATTGTGTCCAAAGGATGTTAAGAGAAATACAGTAAATGTCCAGCACTACAAATCAGTTAAAATATAACGTGAAACACTGTATATTGCTTTGCCCAAATATATAAAAAAAAACATGACATTTAAAAAGCATTTACTTTATTAATGCTAAATTATTGTGTTATCATATTGCAGTTTTAAATAGGTTGGACATACAAGATAGTCTTCAGTTAGGTTGTATAGTGATGAACTGTTTTATTTTAACCCCCACCCCCCCACATGGTGGAGGTGACCATTTTGCCCTCTGCTGGCATGGGACTGAAGACAGAGCGAAAGCTGCCAGGACATCCCACTGTTAGATGCTGTTGGGAAGATTAGCTACGTTCACTACGGTTTTCTAGAAGGTAGTTAAGCAGTGTTGGATTAACAAGCTTTTGCTAGTAAGTGAATAAAGGGTAGGAAATAGATCGCCTGCCTTGTTACGGACAAAGGCGCAAGACACATGGTAATGCATATATATTTAATTATGTATTACATTACAATGGTAACTAGATACTTCAGCCCCTTAAAATAAGCATCTCTCATTGTTATTTATTAATATGGACAGACTGGATATATGCTCCACATTACACATGCAGCTGTGAAAATGTTTTGACAGTCAAAGCTGCAGTAATTCTGTCAATACCTGAAATAACGAAATAGAGTTCTAGAAACTACTCAGGACCTTTGTCAATGGCTAATACAACTGCTGTCTGCAAAGAGGAGTCCCTGAAGCTATTCAGCATGGTTCTTAAATAGTTTGTAATGTGTTATCTTTGCTGCTGTCACTTTGCTGGTCTTGCAGTTGAACATGTAGTTTTGTTTTTTTAATAGTTGTGCTGTCAGAGTAGCAATATCCCAATAAACAAAAGCAGTGGCACATCCTGCCAAAGCCTGGCTCCCGGTGTTGCAGTAATTCTAGTTTTAAGGGCAGCTGCAGTGACATCTGAGGCGAACTGACTGGCTTTGAGGATTGAAGTGCAAATTTCACCAAGCATAAATGTGAAAAGAGACCATGTTTATAGTCTGTCCGTCCATCCATCCATCCATGCAGTATAGTATTGTTGTGAGCCAAGGAAGGCAGAGTCCATCACAGTGCATAAAGTTGCACACACGATAATAAACTACAGATAATTTAGAGATGCAAAAACAGTATTTCTTTGGACTGCAGAAAAGAAGTGGAGTATCTGGTGAAAATATGTTTTACAGTTCCACTCAAGCTTATGATCTTTGAGAATGTCCTTTGGCGTGTGCATGGCTATTAAAGAACATTTGGGCATTATGTGAACAATAGAGATTGAAGGGATGGGCAAAATAGAAACCCCAAATGATACATTTAGGACCTGATAAGGAGCAGGGCCACCCTTTGTCTTCAGAACAGTTTCAGTCATCCTTGGAATGCAGTCACACAAGTCCTGAACGGTCTAGTGGGATTGAGGGTCATATTTTAGGAAAAGCCTCTTCCCTTCTCTGAAGGGAAGAAGAAGGTGTTGATCTAATCTGCACTCTGTGCTCCAAAACTTCACATAATTGTTCAGCTGTTGAATTTTTAGCACAATCATCTTGGAACATGGAAACATAATCTGTCAATAATGCTAAAGCTTATGGAGCACCTGGTCATGTTAAAGGTTCCCATATCCCTTGCTCATCATATAACCATGTAGAGCAATCACTGGACCTAACGATTCTCACAAGGATGCAGCCCATGCCAATGGAGATTATTCTTATACTGTATAAATGCTAACAACAGAAATCAACTGGGATGTAGGAAAAGAATAGCAGATGACTTGTCAGACCATATTACGTTTTCCCCATCACTTGGGTTCATGGTTTGTGCTTAGTTACAATGCTTCCTAATTTGGCGTTTCCTTTTTTTTCAGGTCCTGTAAATCCACGCCTATTTTTTTAATGCATAAAAGAGAGTGAGTCAGGAAATAGGTCCCCCTTTTTGTCTGATGTATCATTT